CGCGGGCCCCGCGCCTCGCGAGGGGGCGCTCCTCTATGAAAACAGGGGATGGAACCGCGAGCTCCGGCCTCGGAACCCCCTGGACGGCGAAGGCCGGCACCGGGCGCCGGGCAGCGCACCGACTGGGCCGAGGGTCGTTAACGGCTGACTATAACGGTCGGCCGGACTCCCCAGCGGGCCAGGCTCTCGCGATGCACCTCTCGCGAGACTTTTCCTTTCCACGGGGCCGGGGTTCTGATCCTCCGCCAAGCGTGAATTCCGTGAGCGGCCAGGGGCAGAGGACACACCGGGGAGAGCTCCCGTGGTGCTCAGACAAGGGAGCCGAGGAGTTCACCGCCTGCGCGTGCCAACAGCCACACTGCCGTTACAATCATTTTAAAGGAGTCACTTCGGTGTTTGTTTTTTAAAAAAGGATTTATTACTCTGTGGTTTGTGTGTAAGAGTGTTTTGTGCGCGTGCATGTACGAACGTGTTCCACGTGTTCACCATGGGCGTGCGGCGTCCTGGGCGGCCCTAAGAGGGCGTAGGATCTCTTGGAACTGGAGTTACAGGTGGTTGTTAGCTGCCACGTGGGTGCTAGGAACCAAACATGGGTCCTTTCCTAGAGCAATAAATAAGTTGGGGGGGAGCGTAGGTAAGGGTTAGGCTTTACAAAGGAGGATCGTGAGGAAATTTTGAGCAGCAAGGCTGGCATGATCAGGTTGGGAAGAAAATTCAGGTCCATGGAGTGAAACAGTTTTGAGAGCTTGGACAAGATGTACGGAGCTGAATGATCACATGGTCGAATCGGTGTGTTTTAAGTAAAAGGGAGAGAAATCCACGGGGCAGGCTCGGATAGCATGATAAATCATTATTACAGTGCTGAGACGGACGCAGTGATCCAACTCTCCCGAGGGTACAGGTAGCCTTTCTCTTGGGCTGGCTCCACTTGATGCCTGCAGCTTTCCTCAGCAGATGCCTCACCGTCCTGACATCACCAACATGCTGGAGTCTCTGTAACTTGGGCTTCACCTTCACAGCTTCATACAGTGGCCTCTGAGGGCCTCCTTGCCGGTAATCAGACTCTACCACACATTGCCTGGCCTCAGTGGTCAGTACAAGTTTTCATGACCCCCACTCTTGGATCTAGCCTGACTGCAAAATCAGCACCGCTGGCCAAGGTCTGTTGCCATCTGGAGACATAGGCTGGGCCTTGGACCACAACTCCAACAGCCTTTATGCATCTTCAAAGCCAAACCTAAGGAAACACTTCTTTAGGAGAATGTTTTCAGGCAGGGACCCCTGCAGAGAACACCTTCAGATACATTCTCGGTTCACTCTCAACTTTCCAAATGAATTTGGGTTTTTTGCAAGCTAGAGCCTTTAATGAGTGAGTCATTATTCCCAAGGCACCTCTTCTACTGTCCCAATGAAAAGCAAAAGGCTTCTCCTAAACTGTGGTAATATTTTTAACAATTATACACTCCTGTCTGCAACTTTAAGCTTAATCAAGATCCTTTCCCTCACAACCTACACATTTTTCATATCTTTCTGCTCAATTGCTGAAAACATTGCTAAAAGCAGTAAGTAGTAACTATGCCACAGCCCAGTGCATACTATCTTGAAATAATTTCTACCAAACAAATTAGTTCATTTTTTTTTTTATTTAAACCTCAGTTTCTCAGGATATAGGAATAATGTGGCCAGATTTTTGCCAGAAAGTAACAGAAGTGGTCTCTAACCCAGTTTCTGATAAGAGTCTTTGTTTCCCTCTGAAACTTCCTGAGCCAGGACTTCACTGCCCACACTGTTGAAGCTGTGGTCTTTCACACTTCAGCGTTGCTTAGGGCAGTCTAGGGTTTCTGTAGCCAACAACTCCACGTTTCCAGATTCCTCCCACAAGCTCCTTGCAAAGGCCAACTAACCACAAGGTCAGATTTGTTGTAGATTTGTTGTTTGTTGTTTCTCAGAACCAGTTTTCATCTCTTGTTCTTGTGATAAAATAGCAATAGCACCTTTGGTTCACAGCCCTTCCTGGTGAGAAAGCCTGTGAGCAGGAACGTGAGGCAGTGGCTCCTGTGGGTCACATTGTAGCCACAATCTAAAGTCCCCGAGGCAACTTGATGGCTATTTTCAGTTACTTATTTGCTCTGTTTCTTTTCCTTTTTCCCTTCTTTCCTTCTCGCCTTCCTCTTTCCTAAATAGTCCCTTGCAATAGCAATGCATTCTGTAACTAATGTTCCTAGGGTTAAATGCTTCTTTTTATGTCCTACCCTACTATGTGTGTGCTGTAAATGTAAGCATGCTATTTAAACCCACAGGCTTGCATTTAGGAAACAGTTGAAGAGGATACCATTGTGCATCCACATAGAGACCATTTCATCTGCGTCTATTCTAAAAGGGAGAGAAATGAAGCTATCTAAAAACATTGCTTTCCAAAGCATTTCAGCTTTGCCTCCTCATTTTTACATTAATTTTGATAAATTCGCCAAGCCCGATGGTTTCATCAAAGAGCTAGAGCTCCCACTAGCATTTTTTCAGACTTCCCTTTAAAAATTCAGCTACTGAAGTCACGCTGCCCTGGGTACTCGGGGTATTTGTATGTATGACAGTACAGAGTATTCAAATGTGTTCCTTTATCTTCAGCTGATATTCTCTTTGGTGGAATAAATTTAGCAGTATAAATGAAAGGAAATCTTGAGTGAACGTGGATTATTGGCAGGAGTACAGCCATGTCAAGAACCAATGTCTCAGACCTATGATAATAGCAAAGCCTTCTTTTGGCCCATGTGTGGATATTGACCTATGATAATAGCAAAGCCTTCTTTTGGCCCATGTGTGGATATTGACCTTGTGTGTGAAAACTATCACTGGCAGCTTCCTCCTCCAGGATGACTACAACTTGAGATTGTCTGGCTACAGAGACCTTCAACCAAGACTAGCTAACCTGACTCCTTATTCGATGCACAATAAAGGTGCTAAGTTTCTCAGTTGTTGTAGAGTTGGTGCCCTCCGTCAGAGGCCCACTTGTGGTGGTTTGAATGAGCATGGCCCCAGCTCTCTCCTGTATTTGACTGCTTGGTCCCTACTTGGTAGACCATTTGAGGATTAGGTATGGCCTTGTTGGAGGGGGTGTGTCACTGGGGACGGGCTTTGAGATTTCCAAAGCCTATATCAGGTCCCGTCAGCCCCCCTCTTATCTCACCTCCCTCCAACTTGCAGATCAGTTACTGCTCCAGTGCCATGCCTACCTGCCTGGTGCCATGCTCCTTACCATGATGATCATGGACTCATTCTTTGAAATTGTAAGAAAGCCCCCAATTAAATGCTTTCTTAAGTTGCCTTGGTCATGATGTCTCTTCACAGCAATAGAAAAGTAACTTAGACACCAACCAATCCCAGCTTTTCTGTACTGTGTCTTTGTGTCTGTCACTTCTTCATTCACTCATCACCCCAGGCAGGCTTCCAGAACCAAGCCATGCAGGATACAGATGGGGTGAGATGGTTCTGGGATAAAGGCTCTTGTGTCTAAGCCTGACAGTCCATGGAACACACATAAAGGTGGAAGGAGAGAACACACTCCACAGAGCTGTCCTCTGATGTCCACAGATGTGTTTGGCATGTACATGTGCACGCACCCACGCGAGCACACACTTTTTTTTTAATTAAAAGAAGAAAGGGAAAAACAAATGTTGGCAAGAATTGTGAAGGGAAAGGAATCTTTATACACTGTTGGGAAGAAGCAGTCACTGTGGAAATCACTGTATCATTTCCTTCAAATCCAAATATAGACCTACTGTGTAATCCATCTGGGAATACACCTGAATCAAGAGCCACATAAAATCACAACACCTACAGTCATGTTTACTACAGCACTATTCACAGTGCCCAAGATAGGAAATCAAAGTAGGTGCCATCAACGGACGGATGGATAAATAAGATGTGATATACACAGATATACATGCACAATTCAGTCCTTCAGAGGAACAAAACTATGTCCTTTGCAGAAAAATAGATGGATGTCTTCATGTCAAGGGAAATAAACCAGACTCAGACTAGACTCAGGTGTTTTCTTGCATGTGTGAATGTACTGATTTAAGGCATGGAAGTAGACGGGGACCATCAGGAGAACAAGAAGGGCATCTGCAATGTGTGGGGAGTCCAGAGTGGGTGGTAAATAAAACTGAAATACCTTATGTACATGTATGAAATTTTCCTAATGAAACTCACTACTTTGTGTAATTAGCATACACTTATTAAAAAATGGAAAACAGATACAATTCGAAAAGGTCTTGTTCCTCTTTAATCACTCATGAAATGCTGTGACAAGAAGAGGTTTAAGCATCAGCTTCTTATTCCATCAGCGTGTCCTTAATCAGTGAGGCACACAAACTGTCTTATCCTAATACAACTAACCTTTGTTCACATTTACACATTAGATATTTTCAGCTAAGTGGAAAAAAAATTAGTTTCTTCAGGTAAGGACTCATGAAGAAACAATGACCACCAGTTCTTCTCTTTCTTCTTCTGAGATGAGGTCTTACTATATAGCCCAGGATGGCCTTGAACTCGGGATCTTATTGCCTCCATCTCCCAAGTACAAGGATTGTTCCACCCCATGGCTCCATTGAGAAGAATCCTAGGGTGTTCCTCTATTGAGAGTCGAAAATTCCACAAAATCTGATGAGGATGAGCCCTTCATTTCTCCATTTTATGGTGATGCATAATTACAGTTTTCAAATCAGTCATCCAATTGTGGTTTTGAAATTTTGAGACAAACCTCAACATACTACATTTTCAGTAAAGTGCGTACAAATTCCATTTTTCAGAGAATAACGGAACCAGTCTGGGGTCCTTTGTTTTCCAGGTGCTGAGGATTTCTGAGTACCTGTGACTCAGAGTCCGCAGTTCAGTAAGCCTTCCTATGAAGTGAGCAAAACGCTGTGGTTCTTCTGGATGGTATAGTTTCGAATATTTAAACAAAAGTTGTAGAACTGGTTCTTGTAAGTTTTCTACATGCTGCTTATTTTTAAGGCATGGACGATCTGAAAAAACATTTATCTTACGTTGATTTAAAGTGGTGGAAATAAGGAATTCATTTAAAATAATGCAGTTATTAAATAATACAAATCACAAGTACTTACAGAACCCTAATTCACATTAGATTTGCTAATTAAATTGTCTTTGTTCATAATTTTATTTAATCTTCACAATAGTCTATTGAGCTATTCTACTTTTATCACATTTTTCAGATTAGCTCCCTGAAATATAGGGAGTTAAGTAATTTCTATAGAGTCACATGGGAAGCAAAGGATCAGTAAGTAATGTTGGCAATATAACACTCATGAAGGGCTTGCCTGAAACTTTAAAATAGCAAGTAATGTCTCTACAGTCAACAGAAAGTAAGAGGCAAGACTTTTTGGGTTCCTACCATAAGATGTAAGCCAACCAGGAATTTCTGAAGGCTTAGACAGCCTTTGTTTATCCAGTCACTTTGCTGACTATAGAGCAATGAACTTCACAGGCAAAACTTTCTCCCTTTATTGTACTTATATTCTTAATATGGAGTGGGTGAGGAAGGAGAGAGAAACAAATCTTAAAAAGCAAAAACAGGCCGGAAAGTGGTGGCGCATGCCTTTAATCCCAGCACTCGGGAGGCAGAGGTAGGTGGATCTCTGTGAGTTAGAGACCAGCCTGGTCTACAAAAGTGAGTTCCAGGACAGCCAGGGCTGTTACACAGAGAACTCTGTCTTGAAAAACCAAATAAATAAATAAATAAATAGCAAAAATAGAGGGCTGAAGAGACCACTCAGCAGTTAAGAGCACTAACCATTCTTCCTGAATACTAGGGTTCAATTCTCACACCCACATAGTGGCTCACAACAATTTGTATCTCCAATTCTAGGAGATCTGACACCTTCTTCTGAACTCACAGGCACTGTACACATGGGGTATATATGCAGACAAGGGAGACACACAAATCAATAAAAATAAATGAATAAAAATATGTTTTAAAAAAGCAAAATAAAATAGTGATGTGCTTTAGAGAAAAATAAACAGGGAAACAGATAGGACTCTGGGGTAGAGGGATGGTGGCTATTTTGCAAAGACTAATTAGGGATATAACATCATTTAACAGAATTCCAAAATGATGGAGAAAAATCTAAATAAATAAAGTAACAAAATGGTGAAAGAACTTTATGAAAAATAGGAAGCCACCAATGGATACAAACAGAGGAATGACATGATCTGACTTAGATTTTCAGAGAATCCCTCTCAGCACTAACAGAGAGAAAGTCTACAGAGCATAGACTCAGAAAATCCAGTTAGATAAGTGGATTCAAGTATGCTGCTTGGGCTAGAAACAGTAAGAAGTAAGCCAGGCAGTGGTGGTGCACACCTTTAATCCCAGCATTGAGGATGAAGAGGCAGGTGGATCTCTGAGTTTGAGGCCAGCCTGGTTTACAAAGCAAGTTCCAGGATAGCCAGGGCTACACAGAGAAACACTTTCTCAAAAAAAAAAAAAAAAAGAGTAAGTGGTTAAGTGCTAGATAAATTTTAGGGTTGAGCCGACATATTTGGTGCATATGTGATATTAGTATAGAAGAAAGGAAAGAAATTAAGGATTTTTTTTTTAATTTTCACATGCAATTTGGAAGATTTAAGGTTTAGTACGGGTGGAGGGGAATATAAAAGGATGAGTTCAGCTTTGGGCATTTAAAATTTGATATACCTGCTCAACAGTCACATGGAAATCTTGAGGAGGCTATTTAATAAACTCCGGGGGAGCACACCAAGTTGGTAGATAATTTTGGGAGTATCGGATGCACACAGGCTTTTAATGACGAGAGAGAGGATGAAGTCATGAAGGAAGGGAGTGCAGAAGAAAACAGGGCCTTGTCACAGCCATCTGTAACCCAGTCCCAAGGGAGCTGACGTCCTGTGATCTCGGCAGCCCAAGGCACAGCTGCAGTGCACCAGAGGCAGGCAAAACATGTGCATAAAATAGAGGTAATTTAAAGGAAACAGTCTTAGAACAACGTAAACATTTACCATTGTGAAAGATGCAGAGGACAAAATAAAGGAGAAACTGCCAATGAACAGGGAAAAATCAAGAGAGGATGATGTTCCTGAGACTCATTGAAAGGAAAAAGCTCTCAAGGCCAAGGCCAGTGCGATGGGCACCAGGCCTAACTATCTGAGTTCAACCCCCAGGACTCACATGGGGGAAAGAGAGAACCAACTCCCACAGTCCTCTGACCTCCACATACATAACACATACACATATCTAAGTAAATAAATAAATATTTCGAAATTTCTAACAAAAGAAAAACACCTGTATGAGTTAGTGGGTGGGTGGCTTGGTTTGGAGTGGAATCTTCTTGAGAGTGTCATGTTTTTACAGATTTTTGCACAATTTTAGTTCTGTTTGTGGTGCTGAATATTTTTTTTTTTTTTTTTTTTTTTTTTTTTTTTTTTTTTTTTTGGTTTTTCGAGACAGGGTTTCTCTGTGTAGCTTTGCGCCTTTCCTGGGACTCACTTGGTAGTCCAGGCTGGCCTCGAACTCACAGAGATCCACCTGGCTCTGCCTCCCGAGTGCTGGGATTAAAGGCGTGCGCCACCACCGCCCGGCGTGGTGCTGAATATTAACAAGGTTAAAGAAACGTTGATGGTTGGACTACAGTCTACAAGGAGAACCTAACATTTTCCACCTAACAGTGAGTGGGAATGCCGAGATTATGAAAGGGTCAGTTGTTGGGAATGAATATATCAGCCCTGAAAAGCGATGCTAAACAAGGATCGGCTGAAGGGAAGTGATAAAAGTAATGGGTTTTTTTTTTAATTATAAAACTTCAATTAAAAGTATCTTAATGCCAAATTTATAATCTAGGGGAGCCCATTGCCCCGCTGAATTCTTAAATGTAGAGAGCATGACATGTTCCTCTTTTTAAAAGACCCATGGAAAAGTGTAAAGGACGTTGGCCATGGACACCATTAGTCCCACTTCTGAGAGGCAGTGAAATCCTCACACAGCCAGCACACCAGAGCTCTAAGGTTACTGCACCATCCAGGATTTGTAGATTAATTCCTACACTGAACAGAAAGAAAGAAGACTTTTGTGGTCCAACGAGGGTGAACTTTTCCTAGGTAACACTCTTAGCTGGTTTTCCAAATACTCAAGTTCAGACGACAGCAAACACTGCTATCCCTCCAGCCCTCTAAATCCGTGCTGATTTTCCTCTACGCTTTTCATCCCACAGTTGCTTACAAAGCTTCTTGGAATGAAACATAATACTGGAAAGCGGACAATGAAATCCAGCTGCACTGGAGCCTACGTGATTGAACTTTCATTGATCATACCTAGTGAGCATTCATGGACGCTGATGCCACAGAGAGTTAGAATAAAACAGAACACAAATATGACCTGATCAATCAAGACGGGGCAGTGGTATCCTAGGAAAATTTCATTGGCTTGAAGCAGTGAGGCACCCATGCTAATCAACTGTCTCACTTTAACCTGGAGCCAGTATGTAATGCAGTCTACAGACATGTCAAGAAGATGATGAATTAACACAAAAAGCAGGAGGAGTCCTCCCCACACACCAGAGATCTTTACCAGGCTGCAAAACTCCACCCAAAGGCTCACGGGAAACAGGACGTCCCCTTGTTTTCTTTTAAGTTCTTATGAGTTTCTCTACCAAATATAGCAGATGGGTCAAGTAAGATGAGGAGTGAGAACTGGCCAGTAGAATCAGCCAAGATCCTGAAGCTATTGACAGGTTGTGGTGGACTGGAGAGGATGGAGTGAAATCTAACTATAGAGGATTCAAGAGTAAGAGGAGTAAAATGGAGATTAGAATATAGCTAACTCCCTAAAGAAACTCTCTCTATCAGGGACTTGGGAGAGTATATCCAACGGCAAGAAAGCATTTTTTAAGATGCAAGAAACTACAACACAGTGGTGAGCTTAACGGAATATTCATAGCGCAAACTGTGATGGAATGAGATTGGTACATTCGACCTCAGTTAACAGTTTAATAACCGAGAGCTTCAAGATTGCCCGTGCAGCAGATGTCACCCAGAGCCTTACTGCTGACAGTTTTTACCTGAGAAAAGCACTGTGATTGCTGTAAGCAGAGCATATTCGGTATCCGTTATATTAAGTTCACTCATTCTTCTGTAGAAGTAAGACAGTGAGGCGATAAATTCTTTAGTAATACCTGAGAAGATGAATATAAATAAGTGTATTTTCATCAGAATGTAGCACAGAAGCAAACACAGTGATCATTTTTTTTCCTCTCAAACTAGTATAAAAAAATGAAATTAGGGTGGCTCAAGATGGCTGACGAGGACAATTCACTTTGCTGTGCCCTTGAAGGCCATGCCTGAGCCTCAGTTGTGGGCTCATTAGGTGTGCTATTGATAAAGGGTTTCACCGCGTGAACCAAACAGGAGGCTGTGGGACTGAGAGCCTTCGGACGCCTCTCTCTGGGTGTTTCTGTATTATCTACAGTAAGGCTCACCCTTCCACCCATAAAAGTGGTTGATACTGTGACGTTGGCTGTATATGACATCAGAGTCCTGGGAGAGTTTGAAAACTACTCCCAAAGAATGATTCAGAGGCCCCAACTAGCTCCCCACCTAAATGGGGAAAGAATTGCAGTGATGTAGCCAAAAGAAAATGGTTACAAATAGAAGGCTCACTGGTGACCTGCCTGACCTTAACAAATGTCTCGGCTGTGTCTACAAATGCTTCCATGGAAGCACCCTTAGCAGAGAAACCTGTGAACTGTGAGCAAAGCCCACGGCACTCTCTTTGTAACAAAAGGGAAAGAAGGAGAGAAAGGGGAGCATGGCCACCCAGGGTGGTACTTTGTACCGCACAATGTTACCAGTTAGAGTAGCAGCAGGACTGCCTTCCTTGAAAGAGTTCTCCGAAGAATAAACATTGTCATCACTGCTCTGATGATGCACCCCCAGTGTCCGAGCTGAGGGCTTGGATGGCCTCATAGCACCTAGCAAAAGAGAAAAAAATATGAACTCTGATTTTTCCCCCTAATCATTATATGGATAGTAAACTCAATATCTTTTCAGAATCCAACATAACTATTATGTGAAAAACAATCCCCTAAAATAGTATCTTTATCATTGTTGTTACTGGAACATAAAACCAGATTAATAGCTCATACTTTGTAGAAAGAGTATATATAAGACCCTCCCAAATGAGTTTTCCATGATGCTGTAAAGAATGACTTCCTTAAACACACACCCCCTCCACGCATCACTCTAGTGCATCCCAGGCTGTGCAGACTCTTAAGCAAACACTGTTCAAGCAATCATAGACCAGGCCATCAAGGGCCTCCCTCTAGCAACCTTATGGTCTAGTGTATGCAGGGAAGAACAACCAACAAACAAGCAAACTTAAAAAGGTTAGTACGGTAGCGAGGGCAGTTAGTGAAGGCAGCTGGCGCTGCTGGGAAATGTTTTACTGTTTTTATTTGTGTCGTTTTGCTTCCTCCCACATCCCCAACCAACACAGAGCTTTACGGTTTGAGTTATCGCATGCACACACTAGAACAATGATGGGTTTCCTGCTCTATTCAAAGGATTGATTGATTCTTTTTTAAATATGTTTCTGTTTTTTACGGAAGTGAAGTACTGGACAGTAAGTTGGACACTAGCCTGACTAGCACCACCACCACCCCAAGCCATGGAGGTGTTCCACAAATAAGTAGGCTATAGCTGTGAGTTTCAAAGCAAGCATACAGCCTTTGCCCAGAGCTCCGCTGTCTTAGAGTCACCATCCCCTTAGCGTTTAAATAATGCCTGTCAAAGTCCCCCCTCGTTAGAAGAGCCTGGGTTAGGAGCACAGAAGCCCCCTCCCAAGCTGAGGAGTTGACAGCTGCTAGGGGAGCAAGGGTCCAGTTTCTTTCTTTAGAGGCCTGGTCCCTTGAAGCTGACAGCCTCTGGTGGATGAACCCACACCCATGTGCATATGAGTAGCACTAACTAGAGTCGCTGGGTTATTTTTAAGAAGAAGGGTGGAGGGAAGACATGAAGTCAGGAGAAAGATGTCGGGGATCCTGGGGGAGTTAGAGGAGGAAGAAGTGAGGTGAGTATGACCAAAATACTTTTTGTATACATGTATGAAATTCTCACAAGAATAAAAAAAATGCGATTTTAAAAAGAATGATTTTGTTGAGAGAAAATGCTAGGTGAATATATTAGAAACTATTTATAAACAGCTATCCTGAGACATTTGTTCCTACACTAACTGGTAAAATAAAACAAAAAATAAAAAGAGACTGATGAAGTCACTCAATTAGTAGAGTTCTTGCTTAACATACACAAGACCCTGGGTCCCATCCTCAGCACCACATAATTCAGGTGTAGAGGCATGCATCTGCAGTCTCCTTGGCTGGCGGGTGGGAGCAGGAGCATCAGAAGTTCAACATGCTCCTTAGCTACATAATGAGTTCTAGGATGCCTAGGCGACATGAGATTCTATTTCCAAAAAAAAAAAAAAAAAAAAAAAAAAAAAAAAAAAAACACTGTTTAAAAATGCATGTGTGTACATGTGTGAATGTTTAATGTTCTATAATTTGTTGCTAAATTTAACGTGACTATGTTAAAGTTAAATGAAAAAATTTTTTTTTCTTTTTACTTCCAGAGGTTGATGCTTTCCCACTGTGAAGTTGGGCTACATGAAGAAACATCACTTCAGTTTTTGACTCCTTCTGTAATACAGTCTGATCCTCATTGGTTAAGTTTTCAAATCCTTAAAAAAAGATAAAGCATGAAGAAATGAGATAATCAAAAGATAATGTTCATAAGCTAAATGTTTAAAAAATATTTCTTTGCTTATCAACCCTGAATGTTTCTTGGGAATAATCATAGTATATAAATTCAAATCTGGATAAAATTACTGATTCTACATGGTAATACTTTAGAGCACTTTTATCAGAGCTAGATGACACTTTTCTTATAGCAGGAATAAATCAAACATAGTTGCTTTAGCCTTGAAGAATGTAATTTTACAGTGAGCTACTGTAGCTTAAAATATAAAATGAAACTGAGTTATATATAACAAAGTTTTAGTCAACTGTGGCTTGTTTTAGTATTATTCAGGAAGTTTTCTTTACTTCTTGTTTCATTTTTAAAAATTACATCATTTTACTGATTTTTTTGTAAATATCTAGGCTGTCACCCACCTGTTTAATTGAAGTAGATAAAATAAGGCTTTTGTTGTTGTTGTTGTTAGAAGTAGCATTACTGGAAAACTGAAGGTTTTCTATTGAACCCTGGGCCTCAGACACATTAGACAAGTGCTTTGCCATTGAGCTGTATATCCAGTCCCACATTAGAGGTTTTTGTTTCGCTATACTACCCCTTTGCCTTAAAAACAGAACTCAGGGCTGGAGAGATGGCTCAGCGGTTAAGAGCGTTTGTTGTTCCTGCATAGGACCTGGATTTGGTTCCCAGCACCCACATGGTGGCTCACAACCATCAGTAACTCCAGTTCCAGGGGATCCCACATTCTCTTCTGGCCTCCATGATATGGTATGTACATGGTATGAATATATGAATATATACTTGCAGGCAAAACATGCATAACACAAAAAAATAAAAATAAATTAATCTTAAAAATTATGAAACAGAATTTTACCTGGGAGTCCCTTGGTAAAACTCATCAGCCCATGTATGTGTAGGACTGCTCCCTCTGAGAGTCTCAGAAAACTTAGTTCAGGGTTGGAAAACTCCTGCAGCTAATCCATAAAAAGAAATAAAAATGATAAACAGTATTTTCTCTCAGATAATTACTGAAGTTTTAACCATTTTTGCTATCATTTCCTAATGACATTCGTTACAAGTTATTTCTTGTCAGTAACAGATACATACAAGTGTGCTTGTTTCCCCTAAAGGAATCATGAATTTTTGATAAGCAGTCACTATGGTACTCATAAGATGATGTTCCTCTTGGGTTAGCATCATGCTTTCCTGAACCTGTAAGGAAACAGGGGCATCTGTGATGTGTGCCTATTGTACACACTGTCAATAAAGAAACAGGAAAGTGTGTGGAAGAAAAGTCTTACCCCTCTTCCAGATCTGGTGGTGGATGATACAAGCTTGCTGTCTGCTCCTTCATCTTCCACTGGGAAGTCAGAGTGAAGAACCATCTTCTGGTTGAAGCTCCTGCGAAGTCTCTTTGACTTACACTGGACCTCTGTGAGCAAACCTGTGAGGTTATGAAATTCACACAACGTATTTTTGTCTCAGAAAATAACGCCATAGGATTTGATGGAAATGGTCTTAGATGAGTAGTTGATCCCAGACTTCTCTTGTGCATGTGTGCATCAACTAACTGTCCTGTTTTCCTTTCCCTTCAGAGCTATCTCATCTGCTTGAGATACAGTCATACCAGACAAAAACTGAGAGTTAATCTTTCACTTCCAAATTATGTTTAGATTTTTACATAAGAAATTTTACACATTAATTGCATCTTCAAGGTGAGATTGTCATTTTATAGAGTAGTAGAATTACCTTACCTATAACTTTTATCACTAGTTTTACATAAGAAAGACTCTCAGGATTTTCAAAAGAAGCTAAGACAATTTTTCCTATAAACCAGACAAAGCATTTAGTTATTTTCAAATGTGAATAATATTTATTTGAGGATTATTTTTGTTTGTTTTTAAATTTTTATTTTTAATTCCTTATATGAGTCTGTGTGTGGGTATGCACACATGAGTGCAGGTGCCCACAGATGAGAGAAGTATCACATCCCCTTGAGCTGGAATTATAGTTGGTTGTGAGCCACACAATGTGGGTGCTGGGACCTGAACTCAGGTCTTCTGTAAGTGCAGTGCATTCTCTTAATTGCTGAACTGTTTCTCCATCCTTGGGATTATTATTTTTATAGAATGTTTAATCTTCCATTGATGCCTTTACTGGACCAGCAACAGCTACCATAAATCACAACTAAAATTATGTAAGTATTAATATACGTGTCATTTTCATAAGTATTTAAAACATACCTATTAAATAAAAATGAATGAGGAATTGAAGTACAGAACAAAACAAAAACCTTAAAATCCTTCTATATTGTTTTATTACTTGTCAGAGAACAAGAATACCCCCAAAAAAGCCGGGCAGTGGTGGCGCACATCTTTAATCCCAGCACTACAGAGGCAGAGCCAGGTGGATCTCTGTGAGTCTGAGGCCAGTCTGGTCTACAGAGTGAGTTCCAGGACAGGCACCAAAACTACACAGAGAAACCTTGCCCCCCCCCCAAAAAAAAGAATACCCAAAAATATGAAACCATTTTAAATGTATCAAGTGTTTGACATGATAGTACACACTGTAAGCCCAACCACTCAAGAGACTATAACAAGAGGACTGCATGTTGAATGCCAGCCTTGAAAAATTGGACAGACCCTGTCTTCAATTTTTCCAAGTAGAAAAGGAGTCTATGGGTGTAGATTAGTGGTAGATTGTCAAGCCTGTGGGAAACCTGAGCTCAACCCTCAATACCATAAAAAGGAAAAATGAGGAGGAGGAGGAGGGAGGAGGAGGGAAAGGATAAGGAAGGGGAAAGGAGGAGAATGAAGGGTAAAGAGGAAAAAGAGGACGAAGGAGAGAAGGGGGAGGAAGAGTAGAAGAGATGCCCAAAGTCCCAAACACAGACAGTATTAGAACAACTGGGTAAATTAGTATGAAGAGCTACAGCAATGGGGTCAGGGTATGGATGAATGGAAATAACACGTGAATAAGGCGTATGCTCTCCAATCACGATAATCATACTCAGCCACTCTCTTTTGCTTCCTCTTGCCATAATTCTTTAAGTTAAAGCGAAAGATGGTCCATTTTATTTACAGATTCCCTCAGATGACTCTGGGTTCCTTTTCACATACATTTCCTGACACAGGTTAAAAGGCAACTTTTGGGCCAGGTGCAGTGGCATAGATTTTTAATTCCAGAACTTGGAGGGCAGAGGCAGGAATCTCTAGGAGTTTGAGGCCAGCCTGGCATACTTACCAAGTTCCAGGCCAGCTACATAATGAGATCTTGACTATAAATTAAATTAATAAAAGACAACCTTTTCAAGGGTTTCTTTGTACTGAATTGTGTTTCCAAAACCTCATATGTTAAGGTGCTACCCTCTAATGTGATGGTATTTGGAGACAGGTCCCGATACCCATGTGTTAACTATTAGTGGACTGTGCATACCTGGATATCAGGTAGACTTTTGAGAACTACTAACTTTAAATTTTGCACTTTTTCCATTAAGTATATAATTTTAGGTTAAGTGACATAAAAATACAAGATCTTTTAAATTATTATTTAGATTTATTTTATGTGTGTGTTTGGCTTGAATATATGTATGCACACTACATGCATGCCTGGGGCCTGCAGAGGTCAGAAGAGGGCATTGGATCCTCTGTAATTGGAGTTATGGATGATTGTGAGCTGCCATGCAGATGCTAGGAACTGGGCCCTCTGCAAGAGCAACAAGTGCCTTTAACTGCTGAGCTAACTCTCCATCCCCAAAAGAACTTCTAATTAAGATGAAACTATGACTGATTCCAAAATTGAGCAATATAGTACAGAGCAAAGTTTATTATTATATATATGATACCATTCATAGTTTGCAATCTATGTACATAAGTATGTGGTGTGCATGTGTCCATATATAAACAAATATGATAATGTTCAAAATAACTCTTGAAGAATGCTTTACATTCTCAATAAGGTTGGAATTTTTTGTTTGTTTGTTTGTTTGTTTTTGCCTTGTTTTGTTTTGTTTTTCAGGACAGGGTTTCTCTGTTTAACAGCCCTGGCTGTCCTAGAACTCCCTCTGTAGATCAGGCTGACCTCGAACTCACAGAGATCCACCTGCCTCTGCCTCCCGAGTGCTGGGATTAAAGGCCTATGCCACCACTGCCTGGCTATTTTATTATTTTTAAATTCAATGTTATTGTACAGCGGAAAGCGTGAAAACAGTCCCCCCACTAATACAAATAATGCAGATGAGTTTCCCACATTTGTGGAAATCCTAGGGGTCAGCATATCCCAGTGCAATGAATACAAATCTAAGTCACAGCCACAAGGGCACTTACATTCTGCCAGCATCCCCACGGCCTTACACTTCTTCAGTCTGCACTCTTGGCATTTTCTGCGCATGTACATATCCATTTCACAGTGGCCACCATTCTTGCAACTGTAAACCGCATTTTTGGTGATGCTTCGTCGGAAAAAACCTAACAACAGAAGTTTTCAAAGTTTAATATTGATACTTTTAGTTACTTCTCATTTTATTAACATTTTACCTTTATAGTAAAGTAATCAAGTTAACAAGATTATTTCAATAAAATTAGGGGGGTTTTTTCTCCCAATAATTTTTTTTTTTTTTTTTTTTTTTGGTTTTTCGAGACAAGGTTTCTCTGTGTAGTTTTGGTGCCTGTCCTGGAACTCACTCTGTAGACCAGGCTGGCCTTGAACTCACAGAGATCCCCCTGGCTCTGCCTCCCGAGTGCTGGGATTAAAGGTGTGCCCCACCACTGCTCCACCACCGCCTGACCTCCCAATAAATTTTTAAATATACATTTATCTGGCAAGTTATCTAATTCTTTCCAATTGGTATACTCAACCCATCCTGAGGTTGTCTCTTACATTATAACATCTGGAGACTGAACTAAATACCCTTACCACATTAAGACGACTCTGTCCTACTACAGGGAAATT